AAATCGAATTGAAACAGAAAACGTCAACTTCGGCTAAGAAAGGTTCGATTCTCCCCGATGTAAATGACAGATATAATCGTGAATCGAAACAGAAAATTTCCGCTTTAGCTCTTGCGGATGTCAAAAGCTGAATAAACCTGAATGAATATTAAGCTCGGAAATTCTAGTCTTCTCTTCAAAGATATATAAACCTTTTAATCCAATTTTCACAATATATATCTGACTGGAAAAATTTATGGACSTTGCTTAAAGTTCGTTTTCAGCTTATAATGATATAAAATACATACGCAAGCCAGTGCATATATTCTCTTAGGATCTTAAAAATCTTAAAATTTAGAGTCCTATGTGATTGTCCCAAGCATGATTAAGGTTCTTGCTTTTGGAGTACAACTTTCCCGTCAAGGAATAATTCGCAATAATTTCCCTAGCGACGCAACCCCGGAAGTTTCTTTTTGTAGTTAAAGAAAGAAAGAAAATCAAAAATACAAAATTCTTGGATTTTTCAAGCCGCTTGTTTCACATGCTCTTTCCCTCTGAATTTGTGGGGAAATTCAGGAACATCCAACGCGCTGACCATACAGATAATAGCAATGAAATGATGATGATCGAGAATAATAATGATAATAATGATAATTACCTCACAGTTTCCAACATGCCAGAGTACTTSAGCTGTTCCCAGCATAAATGCCTGTCGAATACCATAGCCTGTTTGTTATTGTTTGGTTTTATACAACGGACAAAAGAAGAATGACAACTTGACAAGGTCTTCATCAGTACATTCAAAGAACGYCTGAATTGTAAGCTCAGCGTTGGGGACCTCTTTCTTGTTTCTGTACCCTGAAAAAGAAACGGGAGCTCAAGTCGTTGGATCCCGCCAAAAATCAGAGTGGTATCATAGCGGTTTCTTAGACCATTGCAGATTTCGTATGCTTACGAGACTTTGTAAAGGAATGGATAATGGTACGAAAAGCACACGATACAGTGACTGAACTTTCSCAGTGTTAGTGATATATTGAGTATAACGCGTGGTTGCGACACGAAAGGTTATTATTAGTTTATTACTTGGTCTGCATTTCTATTACAACAACAACAAACAAACAAAGAGAAATACAACTTACCATTGACCTTTCGCTGCTAAACATATCAAGGAGAAAATTAGAGTCACTTTGTGCTATCAAATCGATGAGGTCCCCACTGAAAGTATCACGATTTTTATCCAGGATTCCTTACAAAAATAGAAATAAATCGAACCATTTCTATCTGCTGTGCTCCGCGTTCAGTCGTTCGTTGCTATGTAAAGGAAGCAACTAGCCGGCAGCACGCCTATGTGTAAGTGTCTGTAAAATGTGTCTGTAATATAGCACTTCGACTTGAGAGCGCGTCGAGCTGCGTCTTTCGCAATTCAGCACCCATGCTGCCATGAAGGACGATTAGCACCCAACACCTTTCCTTAAATCCTTTTAGTCATCTCTTTTACTCTCTGTTAGCCTCAAAATCGTGTAATATATCATTTTATTCAGCACTTTCTTGTACAGTCACGAGTGTTTTAGGGTCCGATGTTCTTATGTCTTACACTATAGATTTGGCAAATACAATCTCATTCAAAGACTGCGTCTGCAAATGATGATGGGTTCCCGTAACCCCGCAACCCCTCAAACCACTCCTTGCATACGCCCCTGACTTACCTTCTGATTCATAGTACACTRTCCCTGCAAAGTGAACGACGCCAAACTTGGTTCGTTCCAGAGAGCTTGATTTGACGAAGGATGSATTTTCGCCATGATTTGTGTTTATCTTGTGAAGAAATGAGTCATCCGAACCCTGGGAAAAATAAAAGTTTGAAACGACGAAATGATAATGATCCAGTCTACTTTTCCAAGCGCCATCTTGAAAGGTAGTCAAGAAGCCTTTACATCAAAGCGAGACAGTGCCGGTTGACAACGAAAGATACCTTTTATTTAAACCTAAGACAATCATTCACTGGTRTATATCTTTGTAAGCTCAATCCTTGTCTTTCAGCTCATGTTACCTGCGGGAATCTGCTTTCCTCGTCCATAATTGCTATAAAATTCATAGGTTTGACAGCCAACATATCCAACACCTCTTGATTGTCCTTAAAAGTCACGTGGCTCCARTCTATTCCCTCGCGGCTGTATTCTTCCTGAAATTGATTGACAGCAGGCTCACCATTATCAACATATGTGGAGAGCCTCATGCTCAGCAGAGATGCTGAAGATAAATGTTACTCCAGCACCTGTATTTTTTTCCYCGTATCCCACATTCTTCCCTCATTTATTGTCGAGAAATACTTTTCTGCGCAGTTCCTGTGAGCTATCGAGTTAGAGTTCAATGGCATCGAGAAGTGGTTGCTAGAGCAGCCACGTGGGTCAAGCAATGTGTGGTCGTTGGGTCAAGCAAGGTGGTCGTTGCTTGAATTGCATATACAACAAATCGGTTGGTGATGTCMCTTTAAATTACATTGTCAGATATCGATCTACTTACTTGTTCCATCTTGAAGATTTGTGCTACGAAGAATTGTTGCAAATTCTCGTTGGCATAGTTGATGCAGAGCTGTTCAAAGCTGTAAAATAAAAGACAACAATGTATACACCCTTTTAATAAGTCCCGAGGTTGTGTTCTCCGCACTTGACGTCAAATTTATTCTTTTAAATTGTATTGTAAAAAATTCAAAAGAATAAATTTGACGTCAAGTGCGTGGGACACAATAAATCGGGACTTATCAAAAGGGTGTATAGTGTAATTCGTCCTCAGCGCAAGGGCAGGTTATCTAAGGGCGAATAGTGCTATACTATACACCCCATCAATCGTGGATGAAATCCGATACAAAATCTAAGGAGTGGATAACTTTAACCACCCTTCATACAACCGACCACAGAACACTAGTTCAAGAGAGATGATTTGCACTTATGTGAAGTCTAGTAATAGCCGACTTGCGAATTACGCATCAATAGTCACATACAAAGGAATCAAGACGAGGCGCCGTGCTTTTTTATGAAAAATCTATTGTCTTTAGCACGGCGCCTCGTCTTGATTCCTTTGTATGTGACTATTGATGCGTAATTCGCAAGTCGGCTATTCCCGCATTCGCATTACCACAGGACGACGTACGCTTAAATTTTGGTTAGTATAGTTAACAAAGAATCACATTATTCTTTATCACCTGTTAACTTCAAACACTTCAAATCCAAATATATCCAGCACACCAATAGAGGTACGGAAGCCATTTTCATTCTGAAAGGAAAAATATAGAAATAGGAATAGGAATAAGATCCGAATAATTCAATGTTCAAATTCCCTAATAATGACGTGCTCTGTTTGGCGAAGTGCATCCTGGTATGGATAAAAGTGTCAAGATGGCGGATATMTWCTAAAACCTATGAATGAACGTTATCCAATTTCGAGAGTKCTTTGAAGTATATATAGTGTACAGACATCTTATTCAATGTTATTTCACAGCGYTCTCGACAAAGGATAACCTTTATTTTGCAAAGATACATCTTCCTTCGTAGTTTTTGTAWRACAACCGCCATCTTGATACTTCCATCAATACCATGATGCACTTCGCCAGACATGACGTCATTACGGCAAATGACCAATAACATCCTTGGAAGGCAAAGGACTGCATTACCATAGGTTTAAAGATGACAGCATTTATTTTTTTGACAATCCAAATGAATAATTTTCCATAGATTCCTTTGACAAACGCATCTCGTACGTCTGTAGCTTTAGTTTCGCTGACAGTGCTGTATATCACTTCACCCGACGCGTACGTCGACTTCATGGTAAACGCCTTCTCCATGCTGCTAGGCGGAACCTAAAATGGACGGTGTAAGTCATACACTTAGAATATTCACTCACTGTTTTGTCAATCAATCAATCAATCGATCAACTAACCAACCAACCAATCAATCAACCAATCAACTAACAAACCAACCAATCGATCAAGCAGCCAGCCAACCAACCAACCAACCAACCAACCAACCAATCGATCAATCTGTCTTCTCACCTCGAGTAGTTCAGCGGCGTACTTCAGAGACCGAGGATCCATTACTTCACTAGCTTCCATATTGTCTTGCACTGTTCCTGAATCATTACGTTAATATTATTTTAGACTAATAAAGTTTCAGATTTATCCAAGTTGATCCTTTCGGACAAAAAGTAAAACTGAAAAGCATTTTTCTTTCATACTCATGCACTTAAGCAAACGTTAGTAAACTGAAGTTGATTTACGTAAACTTGTTTGAATAAATTCATTTTTACGTACCACGAAAGCTTATGTTCCCTAAGTGAAGAATCGAGGCCATAATCTTGAACAAACGCCATGTTTCTTTAGTKGTAAATGACAGGACCTACGAAACGTAAACGTAACGTTTCCATAAGAATATGACGCACACATAAATATGAGATATAAATCGCGTCATGTGACTTGTCCAAGAGTTTGAATTTGCGCATGCTTGCGCAATTATGCAGTTCACCTGCATCGCTTGTCTGATCACGTGAAATTCACGTGCATCGTCCATGGATGGGCACGTGAAACAGTTCCCTTGTGATAAGTAGTGGTAATCCTCTGCGGTTGTTAAGTGGAGGGATTTTAGYTCTTGCGGAGTCATACCAGCCAGCATACGGTAGAATATATGGTAGTTWCGTTCATCTGGCATCTGGAATAGGAGGGACACACAAATTACATACGTAGGTATTTAAATTACGTAAAGTACGTAAACTATGCGTACGTAGTCTCTTCTTCATTTCCCAGCGCCATTTTAAAAAGTAGCATTACCTTTGCATCAAAACAAAAAAGTTGTGAGCTCGCAATGATACCTTCTGTTCAGCGGTATTTGTCATTGCAAGTCAGCAAAATGACGCAGTGGACTGGTAAATAATTTTTCAGGCTACGGGAGAATCTATGTAGCACTCAGTTGATGTAATATATTCATAAAGACATAATACAAAACACATAATACAATAGAACGAGAAACAATGGAATACAATACATTTTATGAATACATTACATCAACTGCGTGCTACGTAGGTCACCCCTTCAGGCTACACTCAACATATCCCGGCATTCGTTTCGCTTACTTGGTTTACAATACGTGACTTTTCCAAGAGATACTGCTCAATCTTAGCTCCTTCGATGATGGCGGCTTTGTTGAAGTGAACATCRATGTATTTACCAAACCGACTAGAGTTGTCATTACGCAGTGTCTTGGCGTTACCAAAAGCTAAAGATTGGAAAATACTTCATCATTGTCTATGTTTACGGTACATCGTCACGACACGCAAATAGGCTGCCGGTTATTTTGCAAAAACATAGCCTAAAATATAGGGAAAAATAAGCATTTGATACGCTKCGACAAGCTGCGTGTGCGGCCTACAACTTAGTTTCAAAGTGAGAATACACCGCATTGTGTAAATCGGTTTTTGCTATTTCTTCAAGGGATTGTCAGTTCTTATTCCTGTGGTGTGAGTTAAAACGACTGCTTCCTTCCAAAAAAAATAGTTATTTGTATTTAAGGTGCGATATAAGTAGTTTTAAAGCGTCAATTGAACGCCGCGGACATGCGCATCGCCTACACTGATAATATTACATCATCTACAAGATTGCATGGCAATCAGTACCATATTTGGTAATACCCATGGGAGTGCACACGAGCTTACGAGATTACCTTCAAGTATGGGGTTCGCGTCAAGAATTTGCTGTTCTATCTTCGAATGYTGCCCGCTGACCGCAGCCAGGTATTGAAGGATAAACTTGGTCGAYTCTGTCTTGCCTGCACCACTCTCTCCGCTAGAAATACACAAATTAATGTTTCATTTATGCTAGTCCAAACGAGAAATTCTGGATCACACGTAACTCCACAGATATTTTTCCTGAGAGCGAGTGACAGAAATTTTATAAAACATTTTGAGAACCCAGACATGCAACACCTGTACGAGGCCCGTTTACACTTGCGATTTTTGCAGAGCGATTCCCGCGSCGATCGTAGCGCGACCATCGCCATGCTTGAAAATTGGCTGCAACTCAGTTCGCGACGATTTTCCATCGTCGAAACAATCGCAGTGCTGTTTACACGTACGATTTGAGTTGCGCGATAGCAAAGTGTCGATTATCTCGCTGCAAAAATTTTAAGTGTAAACGGGCCTTTAACCTCCTTCGAAGCAACTCTGGGTTTCCTGTGCTGAGTCAAGARGGCTTCTTGAGGTGCAGGGGGTTAGGAAGGAGGGGAAATCAGGCGGAGTAATTCGTTGTTCATAATCTCTCGACGCCAGTTCTTCACGGTCAAAATTATCAACACAGRTGAGGAAGACCAAATTTACGAAACAGTCTGTTTTCGCTAGTGCAGGCCGAGAAGGAGTAAGGAGAGAGACTACGGTGCTCTATAGTCGAGCTGAGATCATGGTTCCCCTTGAAGAAATAAGCTTTATTAAAAATATTTCTTTTAAATACCTGATAATGATACACTGGTTGTGTTCTTCTCTCTTCATAAGACTGTAGGCTTGTTCTGCTGTAGCAAAGATGTGCGGTGGTAGTTTACTTAGATCCTTCTCTCGATATTCGTTGATATATGTCGCATCGTAGACAGGAAAGAACTTGTATGGATTGACAGCGACGAGAACYGTACCTATGTATGTCTGCCAAACAATAACAAATGRGAGTTAAAATGRCATCATTGTAAAATARAAYGCTTTATGTTTGAGATGATGTGTCGATCGGATTTCTCATTTTATATTTTCCAATCAAGAATTGTTATGTAGAATGTTAGCCTGCGTAAAGTAGCGGCCGTCTTCGAAAAAAGAGGAAATCTTCCACAGGGGTCGCAAGAGGACCCGCGATACGCAGGCTAGTACAATGGCGTCGTTGCATATTTCCTATCCTAGATAAACTACCAATAATGGCACGTGTTTATATTACAGATAATATGATTGCATGCCACTTTGTATATTGTCGATGATTCCAATCGGGGCTCGTTTTCATCGTCAGTGTACAATTTTTAATACTCATTGTAGTTAAGTATATATACTCACATAGATTTTGGCAGCTTGATATCGTATTAAAAGGTTTCTAAGAATCCCTGCCTCAGTGAGATCACCAAGTTGAATCTAAACGCAAATGAAGCAAAACTTCTTGTATATGTTGYTATTACGTCTTTATTACGAGAAGTTACCGCGTAAAGCAAGGCTGTAGCTACGCATGTAATAAGATAAACAAGAATAATTAGAGACCTCAAGATACATCGTTTTGGTCCAGTACGGTTATGGTAGGTAAGCATGCTTATCTTGAAGTTTATACAAAAATAGACCATATGGTTTCCCTGGAGTAATAATGCCATCATCTGTCCAACTGGTATCACTTGTTTCTCCGGTTTTACCGGGCCGTTATTACGTGCACGAAGTGATAAGAGCCTGGGAATGAAGTTGGGTTATGGTGCATCTTAAGGTCTCTACAATCTCGTACCAAGAGCCCTCACTTTTGGACCCTTTTGCCATTCATGGAAAGGCAATGCGTCAGCAGACCGCTGACAGTAGCCGTGAAGACTCTGGTCTCGAGATTGGGTCTCTATTGAAGGATTTAGCGCTGTAAATACGCAATATAAAMTGTCTTACCATGTCCTCTACATCATTGATACTCCCAGGATGCATACGGGAAAGACGCTCAGCTTCTGATCTTTCAAGCTCCACTTTCTACAACATAATAAATTAACGTTGAAAGTTATCCTTTAGCAGCATAGTTGAGTGATGTGGAAAATACAAAATGTAGCCGAAGCCGCTAAGTGTGTAGATCTGTAGATCGAGTTTTTGAAACCGTACATTCATATTCTTTGCAAAATTCGCAGTTTCGAAAATATGAAGATGGGTGTGAAGGCTGTCTGAGGAGCTATATATCGGAGTGTATATAGTGTTAATACTTCGCTCTCTGGAGCTCCTCTGCGTTTCCATATATTGTTTATATATTGTATCGTACCTGACCCTTGTCATCTCGTAGGACCACTACAGCTCCATCAACAGCTTCCACGCATGCTCCAATGGGAACGTCAAAGTTCGCAGTACCGCCCAACCACACGTATTCACCAGGACCGAGGAATGACATGACTGTTGACAAATCAGATCTCACGTTATATGCAAGTTGATTTATAAACCGTGCGTACTGTTTAAAACTGCGAATCTCACATGTGTTGGATTCAATGCAAATTAATACTCCAATAAGTTAAGTGTTTTTTGCCTCATTATCATTATATATCTGAATCCCACTAGTTGCATCGAACCAGCACATGTAAAATTTGACATTTGCTTAGTAGAGCCTTAGTAAAACGGATGGGTGAAAACGGTAAAACCATGAAAAACTTTTGTAAATATGTTAAATTGTTCCGAATYATCCGAGTTCCTTAATTGTTGTCTAATGTCTAATCTAAACTATAATGCTGCAATATTTAGCACTGATAGATAAGTACTTTTTCATTAATGTTGTAGCGTTTTCACTCTCACTCAAGCAACACAAGCTAATGTTCCATTACTGACATTGCATAGACCAAGACCGAAATGTATTGTTCCTCTTGGATTCTACGTAAGATGCCCACAAAATAAAAATTCCTAACTAAATTGCTTGCAATCAAAGGAACTCAACACTATATAACGGACTACTTAGTGCGCTTTCCATTTGTCAGAACTGGCTGGCCAGACCCAGAGAAAATGTCATTATGCAGATCATTCTCTTATTTAGTTAGGAAAGTCACATTTTCAAATTCTATCCATTATTCTATAGAAAACCTCGAAATGACTGAAAAATGTTGACAAAACGCATAATATACCTCTAAATAGAGCAGACTGGCCGGCCAGTTCTACCTAAATGGAAAGCATCCTTAGTGAACAGAGGTTACAATAATCCACGAATTTATTACTCGTGGATAATGAAAAAAGACAATCGCAATCTGAAATGAAAAAGTTATAAAAATCAGAAAACACAGCGGTGGCCTATACACTCAAGATACATTTTGTGAATAAATGCAAATAAATTTTGTACAGAATTTGAATGAAGTGTTATTGATTTCATTCAACCGTGCAAATACGAAAAATAACGCGTCAAATTATAAACACAAATTTACATCTGAAAAATCGACCAAAACTTATTAAAAAAATACCTAAATTCAAGCCAAAATAAAAAAYATATCTATATATGGGTTTCATTTGTTTAATCTAAGTAGTTTTGTAAACGTTTCGTTGTCAATAGAGTATACACAACAATCGTATTAAATATTCCGCAACGAGGTTGACTACATTAACATTCAAAAATAAACCTACACAACTCAACTATATACATTGATACACACGAAAATACGTAAACATAAAAATGTAATACTAACCTTTCAATTTCCATYAATTTATTCGATTATTTTTTGCTAGGATATTTTAGAGGTTTGATGATATTAGTTTAACTTCAGAATTGCTACATATTAAAGTTTAGCTCGCCAACATAAATTTGATAATGTACTTGCCTGATTTTCCTTCGCTTTGACAGTGATWACCAAAATAGATAAGCTAATAAAAGCGAGTACAGCAGTCGTACTTGCGAAGAAAGATTATTTCCACACGAGGACCAAGAAATTTCTAGAATGGAGCATGACTTWCTCGGTTTCAAAGAATCAATAATTGGTACTMCAGCTGATTAAARAGCRAAAAAAATGCTTCACTGAGTAAGTSCATTAAGGAAATAGTGCCTTAATCGAGCAAGAAGACGKCAAATCMCTGATAAARACGAGAGTTTATGGAGTGTCATGGAGTTTTACGTCAGACGAAACGGTTCAGTGATGAAGGCTCGGTCCCCGCTAATATAAACAAWTCTGCCGGTATTGTCCCATTTTTTTATGAATATCTCTATCATATTCCGGCTGATAGTTTCCGCAAGAAGTTYCGTTTACGCGAAACAATTTAATCTAAAACCTTGTCACTACGTATCCAGATATTCTTAGAAAGAATACACTTTAACGTTGCGTTTACGTGCAAACTCAGCCCTTTTTTGAGTATATATGTGTGTAAATAAAAAATTGAATTGAATTGAATTGACTACCAAGATTACGCGTTACGCGTTACGTTTTAGATACGTAGCTGCAGTATCAGGCTACCTTTCATCTACGGAAAATATACGCAGTCTCACTCTTATAGAAATCACCTGTTAAGAAACGAGAAATCTTCGAAGTGGCGCTTTTTAGTATATTTAATACTGGATTGCATGAGTGCGGTAGAAATTATATTTGCCTTGAAGATTAGGAATCGTACGCATTGTCAATAAACATCAATCTCGATCAAAACCATGTCAACACAAGCTGAAAAACGTCAAAAATCATGAATGATTTGTTAATAATAAAGTGGCAATTGATAAAATAATTTATAAAATATTAAATGGGTAAACAAATTGATGGATGAACGAATAATTCATTGTATATCCTTAGAATTGATCGCTTTCGATCATTTTCATAGATTCAAAATATAAAAGACTGGCGGCCATGTTGGATGGATGGACAATAGATACTAATGAGAAGTTCATCCAAGATGGCAGCCGTGACGTATATTAAAAACGGAGGACTGAGAAGAATTATTGTGCAATCATTTACTACACCTGTGAAATATCGAACAATAGTGTGCAACATAATTAAATACCACTAAATTATGCTAAATTATGCTAATTGAGTGATCGCACTTAAACCGTCCAACTGTACAAACTAAATAGTGCTATAGTGCATGTGGAACGCGAATTAAATTGAATTGATACAAATGAAGCATTCAATATCGTCTTGCTTCAGGTCCACTTTTAGTGCAAATCAATACTACTTGTGGGTGATCCAGCTGGCCTGCAGATGAAGACGCCAAGGTTGTAAGCCAGTGAGCCCGTGCATTTTTGTTAAGCGGTCATATTTGAAAGTGTAAATAAAGAAAAGGGAAAATCCGCAGCTCGCCTTTCACACAGACAAAAAGTACAAGACGACGTATTAAATTTATTTACATAACTAAACAAAATGATTATAGAATTAAACCTTCAAGAATTGAATAATCATGTGAAACATTTTCCACCTTAAATACACACACGTGTTTTTCAGAAGGGAATTTAGCCCGGGGGGGGGGGACTCCCTAATATCAAAGGTAGGGGGTCCTCGGCGGAAATTATGAAAATGACCCCTAAGAGGGACCTGTATTTGGAGATGATGGGCGTGGCAGTGCTGAAATTTCAGCCCTAAAAGGGACCAATAATCTCGTCTATTAAGGAGTGTTAAGTGACAAGACGTGACATTGATTAAAATAAAATCAATCATCTAATTAGCAGCTGTGGTTTTTTATCTCATAATGACGGCTTAGGGACGTCATATACCCTAAAAGGGACCACAAAACTCAGTTGGTGGGAATTCTCGTCATTATCACCCTAAGCGGGACCAAAATACCGACTTCAAACCCTATAAGGGACGCCGAGGACCCCCGCCCTTTGATATTAGGGAGCCCCCCCTCCCGGGGAATTTAGTCGAACTTTTGTCACGTGCGATCACTCTACTCTAATGTGCTAGAAGTCAATGCTAGRATAACTATGTTACTGTTAGCGGAGATTTACTCGTGATAGAAGCTGGTATCGTATCTTGGGTCTTTATTGGGCTAT